ACACCCTCACATTCACCTGTCCTGAACCCCTCCCAGTGAGGGACACACACTGCAGGATCCGTAGGTCTGGCCCTTGTCCAGACACTTGGGAGGACAGCTGACCCAGCCGGCTGGAGTTCTGGGCTCGTGGGTGAGGCTGCCCTGGGTCTGTGTTGAGTAACAGTCACTGTAACAACTGCCACAAACAGACCTGTCATCTCACAGTTGCGTGGCTCAGACTCCGCCAGTGTTGGCAAGAGGGGTCCTCACCAGGCTCTGGGGAGAATCCATCTCCAGGATCATCTGGGACAAGGACGTCTCTGGGACTGGCTGGAGTGAGGCTGGGCCAGTGGCCCATGGAGGGAAACAGGCCTAGGCCACAGCCACCTGGGCACCTCAGGGATCAGCACAGGCTTCTAGGAGGGACCCTCTGCCCCCGCGTGACTGTGGCGTGTGTGCAGTACCGGCGCTGGAGGGTCCCTCTCTCCATCCCCCCAGGTGGTCCTCATCATCAGCGGGAACCTGAGCTTCCTGAACTGGCTGACCATCGTGCCCAGCCTCACCTGCTTCGATGACGCCACTCTGGGCTTCCTGTTTCCCGCGGGGCCTGGCGGTCTCAAGGACCGAGTCCTGAAGATGCAGGAGGAGGAAACCCGGGGGCCCCAGGCCCCACTGACATGTGGTGGGTGGTCTTCGTGTCCAGTGCCTGTCAACTCTCCAGTCAATGGCACCCAGCCCTCCCTCCACCCAGAGGCCCGGGAGACAGGGCAGCAACTTCTCACCGGGCAGCTCTCCTGTCTGCTTCGTGTGGACTGTGTGCCCTGGTCCCTGGGAAAGGAAGAAACCTCAGGTGCTGCTTCTCTGTCCCGGGACCCAGGACAGCCAGGAGAGCCCAAGAGGGGACTGTCATGACTCAGTTTCTACGTCAGCCTTGGAAAGTCTTTTGGGCTCAGGGAGAAGGGGGCTGAGGTGGGGGTGTCTTCCCAGAGGCCAGGCCTAGGGCAGGAGCTTACCCGGCTCTCTCCCTCCTCCCGGCAGGCCGCATGGCACGGCGCGCTGCCAACCTGGCACTGGGTGTCCTGATCACGTGGCTCAGCATCCCTGTGGTCGTCAACTTGCTAAGCCCCCAGCAGGTCATGAACAGCTCCTTCAACCCTCTGCGGATTGTCAACACGTATGGGGCCTTCGGCAGGTACCTCGGGGCCACAGTGACCCTGGCAGGGGATATGCGGGGGAGGCCAGCCCGCACCTGCAGCCTTACCCTGATCTGCTCGGGACGACAGCCAGGGTGGGCAGGCGTGGCCCTGACTAGTCCCCCCACCCACCAGCATCACCAAGGAGCGCACAGAGGTCATCCTGCAGGGCACGGCCAGCTCCAACGCCAGCTCGCCTGATGCCGAGTGGGAGGACTATGAGTTCGAGTGCAAGCCAGGCAACCTGAGGCGGCGGCCGTGCCTTATCTCCCCATACCACTACCGCCTCGACTGGCTCATGTGGTTCGCCGCCTTCCAGGTAAGGACTTGGTGGGGACACAGGCAGTGGGGGGCCCCCAGTGACACAGGACGAGGAGCGTGAGGAATCTTCATAGACTCCCGGGATGGGCCTCTTGCCAGGGTCTGTGGGTACCAAGGTCCGGGCCTCACAGCGGCTTTCAGAGCACTTCCCCAGAGGTGGAGGGGCAGCCAGCATCACCGGAGTGTTTGCTCAGGTCAGAGCAAGGCTGGAGGCTCCTGGTCTTCGTGCTAAAACCTGCAGGACAGTTGCCATCCCATCTTGCCCAGGAGGACAGCCTCAGGAAAGCTCAGTCACTTGCCTGAGGTCCCTGGGCTGGCAGGTGGCGAAGCCGACAGGTGTGCTGGGACAGCCAGGCCCAGCCCTGCCCCATCTAGGTCTCAAGGACAGGACAGTGGCTGGGGGTGCCCAGGCACATGAGCAGGACCAGGCACACACATGAACGATCCACAGATGTCCGGCTGACCAGCAAGAGCAGGAAGCAGGTGGCCCCTGTGGAGTCGACCCCAGACCAAAGAAACTGGGCACAGGCCCCCAGGGCTGCCCCCATCCAGGAACCACACTTGAGTCAGATGCGCCCGGGACAGCAGACTCATGGCCAGCGCCAGGGTGGGGCTGAAGGGAAAGAGAGAGCAGAAAGCACCGTCCAGAGGGCTCTCCAAGGGCCCAGGTGGTGGCTACCAATGTCCAGCTGTCTCCGCCCTGCGTGCCTCATCCTCTTCCCACCCCCCAGACCTACGAGCACAACGAGTGGATCATCCACCTGGCCGGCAAGCTCCTGACTAATGACGCCCAGGCCCTGTCCCTGCTGGCCTTCAACCCTTTTGCGGGCAGGGCCCCCCCCAGGTAAGACTCCCCCCCACAGCTCAGCTGCCTCTAGGGCTTCTGCCCCAGATCCAGGGGTCTGCTCCAGGACTGGGCCTGCCCAACCCCTGGAAACATGCCTGGGCACCACTCCCCTGAGGCCTGAGAAGGTTGAGAACTCACCCTGCCCGCCCCCCATCATCTGGCCGGGGGCCCCTCTGGCTTCCCCTGGGCAGCCTTTCCCTCCGAGGGCTCCTGGCCAGCAGGGGGACAGCTGACCTGTGCTGCCCTCACCTTGCAGGTGGGTCCGGGCAGAGCACTACAGGTACAAGTTCAGCCGCCCAGGGGGCCAGCATGCAGCCGAGGGCAAGTGGTGGATTCGGAAGAGGCTCGGCCCCTACTTCCCACCGCTCAGCCTCCAGGACCTGAAGGGCTACTTCAGGTCACGGGAGTGGCCATACCCAGAGCCCAGCTAGAGGCGGCCCAGGACTTGTGCCCCAAGAAATAAAATGGCAAGACCGTGGGCCGCTGCTGAGTGGGGTCTTCACAAGGACGTCCGGGGAAGCAGACTCGGGAAGAAGGCATCTGTGCTTCCTGTCTCGCCACAGTCAGTCCCCGTGGTTCCCAAGTCCCTTCACTCTGGGTTCATCAGCGAGAACCACAGAAAGCCCCCAGCCCTTCCCCATCCTAGGTGCCTGCCCTTGTCACCAGGCCCCCTAGACAGCAGTGTCCTGATGTTGCTCCCAGCCCTGGTCTGTCCCAGGACCACCTGCCCGCGTGGTCCCCCCTCCATGGCTGTGCCCACCAGCACCCACCTGGGATCCTGGGCATCTATGGGGCAGGTCCATGGCTGAGCCCCATTGTGTACCTGGTGTAGCCAAGAGGAAACCCTGTCTGCCTCTCTTCTGCTCTCCTGGGGGCCCCACAACATCCAGGAGGGGCCTGTGTGACGGAAAAGCCAGTGTTCTCTGCCTCCCTCCTCAGAACCCATGACCAGAAGCATGGACAGAAGTTCTCTGTCCTCCTTGGGCAGCCGCCTCCATGGGCCCTGAGCAAGGCACGTCCTCCTCTCCTTTGTGACCACATCCCCCAGTCTCAAACCTGGAGCCTCCTGCTTCCTGATGTGCATTAGAGGGGATGGGACAGCAGAGCCCTCAGCTCCAGCTTGGACCATGGGGGCCCAGGAGTCCCCAGGGCAGCGGTTCTGAGCCCAGTTGCCACAGGTTGAACTGGATTTATGTTTTACTGGGTGGCCCTTCTGGGCCTGCTGCAGGAAGAACTGGGGTGCAGCCCGAACCTGTACGGCCTGGCAGCAGCTGCAAGGAGACAGACTCTCACCCACCCCTGGCCGTCTGGGGCGCCTGCTGCACTGCAGAGGGTCCCGGTGAGAACAAGGTGGTTCAGGCCAGGAGGCCAGCCCGAGGTGGGCACAAGTGTAGGTCTGTGTGGAGCACCCCCACCTGCCTGGGGGGCCGGTCGGCCCAGGTGCCAACAGAGAGGCCGTGTTCCTGCTCCACAGGCAAACAGGCGCCCTGTGTCTGTCACAGGACAAACGGGGCCTCACATGAGGAGCCTGGAGCCAGCAAGTCTGCCCACGGCAGCCGAGTGGAGCTGCTGTGCCTGGGCAGCCCTTCCCAGGGGGCTGTCCTGGGGGCCCTGCCAATGGTGGGAGCACCACGGGTGCCCCTGTGGGGCCCAGGGTGGGCAGGAGACCTGAGGAGATGCTGCGCCTTGGCTTGGGTGGCCCTCCAACCCCAGAACCACAGGTGGCTCCCTGCCAGGATCCATGGTGGGTCCCCTTTCTGCCATGTTCTGGGCTCACTGCCACCCAGGGCTTGGGAGGAGAGGCCCCCAGGACTCAGCACCCCCTGGTGTGGGCTCCTCTCTGAGCCTCTGTCCAACTGTCCCCTCCCAAGGCTCCTGGGACCCACTCCACCACAAGACACACAGGCAGTGCTTACCGCTTTGGGTTCAGCAGGGGCAAGGCTGGAGCCTGTGGCCTGAGTGACACAGGAGTCCCTGAGCCCATTCACGGGCTCCCTTGGCTCAGAGGCATCCCAGGAACCAGGCAGTCCCACCCCTCCTGGGAACT